CCTGCCCTTACGGCTTTAACCGTGTTCAAGTTGCTAATGCAGTAATATTATAACTATTTTTCTTTCTCTTAATTTTTCATTGGTAAAAAAAAAAAAAAGAAAAGATACGCCCACCGTGGGGCTCGAACCCACGACCACAAGGTTAAGAGCCTTGCGCTCTACCAACTGAGCTAGACGGGCTTGGATAAGCGTCAGCCTCCTTCAAAGTTTTATAATCGTTATGGCGTGACTCGGCATGCCACAGCCATCGCCTTCGACCTTGAGCGAACACCAGAAAAATTTTAACAATTAATGAGCTTAAGAGCAATGCTAAGAACACTCGCCATTTGCACTCTCCAACCAACACTTCCATTTTCATTGGGCCACGTTATGGTGGTTGGGGAGAGATAATCATCTCATAGCTGAAGCAAGTTTACGTGGCCCAATAAAAAAGCATGTGTTGGCTGGAGAGTGCAGGAGGCGAGTGCTCCTAGCACTGCTCATGAGCTTAATTACGGTGAAGAGTCTCAATATGAACGTTATAGCATCAAGCAATCGTTCTCATTTGAGTGCAATGCTGTAGCTAGAAAAATATTTTATGAACTTCTGAAAGAAAGTGGTTACTGAAAAGCCTGCTTCACACATGGACAACAAAATTTACAGCTTAAAGGTGCAACCTGTTGAGACTTCCCCAAGGAAACGACAAATATGCTGTGACATTGCTCCCATCCCCAGAGCAAAGTATTGGTTAGAACATCCGGTGAAGCAGAGAGACTTGTGGCAAAAATTGTCTGCATCTTCATTCAAGTTATTCCAGAACACAACTCTGCTAATATCATGAGCTAGTTGTGGCTGAAAATCACACCAGATGGGAGTTGCAGCAAACAAAATGCAAGTAGTATGCCTTCTTTTCCTCTTGAAAACCAAACTACAATTCAACTCTCTGTCTTTGGGATGTATCATCATTTCCCAGCGAAAAAAGCCAACGAAACAGTAGTATTAACTTACTGGTTGCAGGCTTCTGCACTGGCTGCTCCAGCTTTGCTTTACACAGCGCATGATAGTCATGCTTCATGTGAGGAACAACAACTCTTTCCTGAAAATTTTAACAGAACCTTACAGGTGAGCTGTTAATTGTAATTTTCCCAAATATTAACATTTGCACACCAAGTGTACCTTGAAGACCTCAAACGGGCAGAAATCTGCACCATTACAACCCTATCCACAAAAAAATGTACCATTAGAATCATATAAATATAGAGTTATTCTTTCCCATATTCTAGGACTAACCACGTTATTACATGGCTATGGAGGCCATTTTCATTTGTGCTTAGCTATAACCAGCAAGCCAATGACCTTTTCTCCTTTCCATGGGAAAAACAAACCAAAAAAACTAAATAAATAAAGAAAACAAAACGATAAGAAGAGAATGAGATCAAGAGGAGCATACTGGCATTGGAATGGGGTGTTCATTGTGTAGTACTTGCACAAAGTACTTCCCAGAGGAGTTAGCAGGGCAGCTGTATAAAACCAGCATATTATTCCCACCAAAAGGTGCCACAGTGCTCCCCCTCCAATTTCTTTTCTGAGGAGGCTTTGGAGGCAGGTCTAGAGGCTCTTCCTTTTGTATTTGTTCAAATTCTGCAACATAACATACATCAAGAACCCACATGTAAACCATGCATGCCATTTTGTCTTCTAAGTAATCACAGGAAAAAGGAAAACAAGGATGCATGATAAATGCACTCACCAGATCCTTCAAGGAAAAGCCCAAGCAAACATGAAAAAGGAACCACAGTTTCCGCATGTGCAAAGCGAAGCCTTGCCTTTTCATAACTGCCAGGAGCTTGGTTTTCTAATTGGACAATAGAAAGCCAGGGATGAGTGTTAACCATTGTAAGACATCCATTTTGAGGTTCAAGTTCAATTTTTAGAAATACATTTACACTAAAGATACACATTGATAAAGCATGCTAATGATGTTAACAAATGGCAACAGAACAGGAGCTTTCACATCTTCTTTTCCTTCTCTAGATTCAAGAAAGGGTTGAAAAAATTAATATGAAAAAACTCAATTTGGTTAAGGTGTAGGGTCAAATGATATGATTTTGATAGTAGCTAATAAAACTATTGTTGCCATTGCCACTTTTGGCAAGTTCCTGAGACAAGACAGAATGGCATCACCCAAACAAGACCACTATGAAAGGCAATTCAAAAACAACCATTTCACTGGGTTCCTCACTGACAAAGAATGGTAGAGAAAAGAAAACAGAATCAGAATTTTATAAACCATGGTACCTTCTTTAGCCTTAATAGCTTGCTCCATGGATTGTAAAATGTCCTCAAGCAATGGAACTCCCATTTGATAGTTTAGAGAATTACCATACCCCTTCAATATAAAGAACCCCACATCATCTGTCCATTCCAGCAAAACAACCTAAATGTACACACACCTTTTGCTGGTTAAAGACAAATAAAGCACAAAGATGCTAACAAGTAAAAACGCCTTCATTATAAAAAGAACACACTTCCATCTTTATTTACATGCATCGATGCTGACTAGATTAAAGCTCCAAAATCAGGATGATTATATAGAAGAATCTTAAGATGTTAAATTTACAATAACATGAAATGGTGAGGCATGGAGAATACCTCTGAAGGGCTGAACAGACCACAAGCTTGATCAGTTGTATCCAACAACGATGCCTCCTGCCATATTGGAACATAATTATACAAATAAGTATTGATTGAAGAAGTCAAATGGCAATCAAATTAGGCAATAAGAAGAAAATCCACCTGTTTACACAAAAACCATAGAGAAGATATATCCTGACTTTGGAAATTAAGCTCATATCGCTTCTGCAATGCAGAAGCAATTTCATCAAAGATTGGTTCCTTCAGCTTCTCAACAGCAGGTTCTTGGTTTTTCCTGAAGTCCTGCATTTAAAAATGAGGAATTGTAGAAATAAAATAATCATATTCAAAAGATGAATGTCAATTAACATGTTTGATTCGAATAACTAGGGAGAAACATCATCATACCTTGTAGTTTACACAACAGTCATAAAATCTCAGCATTATATCACTTGCACAACTTTCAATTATAACAGCAAAAGCTCGATGACGCCCTGGTCCCAGACTTCCTCTTTCTCTGAAGAGCCCCATGCCAAATGCAACAGCACTAGCAGATGCCCGAGGAACCTAATCATTGAAGAAAAATGAAATAGATATGAGGTTCTAATCACATTGGCATTTCTGTATCACCAATGAAAATAATAATAACAACAATAATAATAATAATAAAAGAAACACAAAAAGGAGGGACAATCCTCACCTGAGTAGCCTTTATGGTATACACATCAGGGTGGTATTCCTCATCAAACAAATCAGGAGATCTTTCTCTAATTCTAATTCCAAGATCGTACAATTCATCTTCTCCTTTACTAATCAATTCTCCACCCTTCAATTTTCCTTTCCAAGGAGATTCCCACTGCCATAACCAGGCAGGGACTTTCTTCGAAGACAGACTGTGTTGCTTGGCATCCCTTAAAAGTTCTTGTATACGAGCAGCCAACCTATCCAACTCTCTCATCCGCCTCTTTGTAGGAGAACGGGTTCCATGCCTTGCCTACAAATTCAAGATAAGATCAACATCTCTTTACCTTTTCAATTTGCAACAACAGAATCACATGGCTGAAACAACAATAGACACAGTGCTAAAAGCTAAATTACCACAAGATTTAAGTGGATACCAGTACATCCATCAGGAATACCAGTAGGAACGAAGGAATTATCAGCAATATCTTTCACTGCACCGTATCTGCACAAAAATTTAAAAATTTACAAAACAAATAATTAAACATCAAGATACTTCTTAGACACAATCAGCTTACTTGAAACACAATGTGGACAAGAACACATTTGAATTTATCCAGTAACTATTAAATTTTGAATAAAACAGCATACATATCTAAAAAGCTGTCGCAATTGATGAAAATTGTTAATAGAACCAACTAAATTGATTTTCTCGGCAACCAAACGGGAAATAAACGAACTAAATGCCAGATACAAAAACTAATGTACAACAGATCGAAGCAAGCTTGCGAAACTAATATGCACACAGAGATGAGGGGAAAGCACCTTGATACGGTGGAGAGGTGTTGCCGGACGTCGAAAGCTTGATCAGCCTCCGAATGAGAGAGTACAGTTAAAAAGAGTAGCAGAAGAACCGCCATGGCCAACTTCATAGCTTCTGAGAAGCGATACCAAAACGTTTCGGTAAATAACGTCGCTGAACTGGGAAATGCGAATAGCTTCCGAGTTCCACCGAGACTGCTCCACCACGGTCTCCACGTTCGAAAGAGGAAAGGTGTGGCTAGATCCACTGTTACGCGGTGTTCTGGATTAAAGTGCTTGGATAATTTATCAACGTTAATCATATTGAATTGAATCGATCATATTGACGTGAATCGAATCAAGGGTTCATTTTTTGGACGGGTTCTAATGTGGTAAATGAAGGGACATCAACGACGGAAAAAAGTGCCACGTGGATAAGGATAGCTTCCGTTTGTAACCTTCGTGCCTTCGGAAATTGGGATAAGCATGGCTGGTACCTACCTTTTGGGCCACTCATCGAATCAATCAATCAATCAATTTGCCCAATTTTCGCTTTTGTAAGGAGTACACTGATTTGGATCGTGAACAAGAACAACCCGTCTCGAACAAGTAGCATGAATTTTGAGTTACGGTGGTTTATTTA